GTCTCTATGATGGTGCATAACTCCACCATATATTCTTGGCCAATGCATATGATTAAAGAGTTAGATTGAAGCATAAAAAATTTCATTTGGTCTGGTGATATCAATAAGTCTAAGCTTTGTGACTTGGTCCAAGGTGTTCAAATCTTTTGATTAAGGTGGCTTAGGCCTCAGATCCATTTCTACTCTCAATGAAGCCTTTAACTTGAAAATGGCTTGGGATCTATTGAATTCTTCTGAAAACAGGGCTATCTTGTTAAAAGCCAGAGTGCTTAGGCATGAAATTCCTATAAAAAACAACATTCTTTCTTTCATTTGGAGAAACATAAAGACCAAGATGGTTTATGTTATTTCTAACACCAACACTATTTTGGGTGATGGTTGTAACACTAACTTTTGGCTTGATTATTGGTGTGGTCCCCCTCTTGTGAATCTTATCCAGGATCAGGAAACTACTATAAAAAATATCTTTCGTAGTGCCATCGAATTTTATTTCACCACAGTCAAAGGATTTACCGTGATATAATCTATTTAATTAGACACTTTTCTTGTATTTTCATTTTAAGCCCATTTTTCACCACGGTTAGAACTTTCAACCGTGGTGAAAAGTAGCGCATGGTCATGAGTTCGAATCTTGTTGTTGTTTTCGTTCTACTGCTATATTTTTTATATTTTATTAAAATACATACAACAACGTTATTTAATACAACTAGGGTTAAATGCACAATTTCCCCCTGTAATATAGGCAAGTTTTGATTTACCCCCCTTTAAAATTATTGTTTTTATCACCCCCTGTAACTTTTGGGTACCCCCTAAGCGTGTAAAAATCAGGGGGTAAATAAAAATATATATATATTTGCAGGGGGATAATTTTGCTACTTATGGGGCAAAAGACTTAGCGTTTTAAAATTTCACGGGGGTATTTCAAAAAAATAATATTAAAGGGGGGTAAATCAAAACCCACCTATATTGCATGGGAGAATTATGCATTTAACCCATACAACTATTGTTGTATGTAGCGTATGGTCATGAGTTCGAATCTTGATGTTGTTGTTGATGTTGTTATACTACTGCATATTTTATATTTTATTAACATAAATACAACAACAATTGTTTAATACAACTGTTATTGTATGTATCTCATGGTCATGAGTTCAGATCTTGTTGTTGTTGTTCTTGTTGTTCTTTTTTTGTTATTGTTGTTGTTGTTGTTCTTGTTGTTATTATTGTTATTCTTGTTGTTGTTATTGTTGTTGTTGTTCTTGTTGTTGTTCTTGTTGATGTTGTTATTGTTATTGTTCTTCTTCTTGTTTTTGTTGTTCTTATTGTTGCTCTACTACTGCATTTTTTCATTTTATTAAAATACATATAACAACTATTGTTTAATACAACAGTGTTTGTATGTAGAGTGCTATCTAGTTTACTTCCACAGGTAATAGACTGTGATTGTAAATAACCCACTTACAATCACATCATATGATTGGAAAAATAACAAGTGTACTATTTTACCGATGTAGTAATAGTAGGTAATTTCCCAAAACATCGATCTCAAGGACTTCGAATTAATACAGAGTTTGTTTTCACTTCAATTGAACAAAAACTATTGTTTTGGTATGTTATAAGTATAACTAATTTTCTAATAACATAAATAAACCTGATGAATAGTTTTTACATGTCTGAGTAATATACTAGGGACGGCGTATGATTATTTCCTGTAACAACATTGAACTATCATTGCGACAACCTATTTTCAACATTAATTTACTGGTTCTTAAGGGCGTTTGCTCATAAGTCCTTAATGAGCAAACCTTTAATCATTCCTCCTAAGTCCCACGTCCATAAAAAATTTACTGACGAAATTAAGCATTACTTGATCAAGAATCCTCCGGTTTCCATAAGGTATCCCTAGTCCTATGTGATATCTACTATAGAATGTTCTCACAAGCACATTATCATTGGCGGTCCAACCTAATTGCTAATTATCATCATTCCCAATTTATCCGAGAGAGAAAGCATTAGAAACATCATGAGAACAAATTTACTGAATAAAACAAACATTTTCATTGCAATAATAACTTCAAATTCATTACATATCTGAATCATGGACACCCCCTAGCATTGGGGGGGGGGGGGGGTTAGCTACTCAAAGAACTAAAGAAAAACAAGATAAAGAGTGTTGTCATTACAGATAATGGAAGTAAAAGAAGTCTTCAATTGTTAAAGCTCATGAAAATCTTGATTCCAAGCATCAATTTGAGTTCTTTAACCTTCAATTGTGTTCTTCACCGTCAAAATTCTCCAACCCTTGTACAAACGCGTTCCAGCCTTTTATTCTTCTGTTCTTGGGCCTTCAGACCAAAAAGTCCACGACTTTACGTGCACACGCATCTTAGGACGCGCATGGGGTGATGGCACGCGTCTGGGGACGCATCTGACTAAGGAGGTGGTTTTCCTATACACTTCTTCCACTTTCCACGCGTGTTAGTACGCATTTGAACCGAGGGGTTCCTTTTCTGAATTCTTGCAGGAAATGGCATGCGTCTAGGGACGCGTTTGGGTAAAGATGTTGCTCACAGGGTACAAGGTGTGCGTCTGGGTATGCATGTGACTTCTGACACACATCTAGGCACGCGTATAACTAGAGGGATGTTTCTTCTTTGTTTAATCTGACTAGGACATGCATGTTGGAATGCACGTGGGCAGGGAGGCACAATTCTGGCTGATTTCCTAGGCTGGCACGTGTCTGGGCAGAGGAATGCAATTTTTCTGCTCCACACGCATTTGGGCACACATTTGGCCAGCCACTCCACACTTCTCACTGTACTTTTTATATTTGTCCTACAAAACACATAATAGCTTCCAAAAAATATCAAAAGCATCTAGAATGATATAGTCACAGGACCACTTTAAAACCATGACAAACATACTATAAATATTTTCATTTGACAAATAAGTACTGCAAAATACTAACAAAAACAGCTAATAAAACACATAAAAAATGCAACTGGTCACAACCCCAAACTTGGCTTGTTGCTTGTCCTCAAGCAACTTGTTACCAACAAAATTTTTTAAATACTGGCCTCATGACTTCCTACCTCCTGTGCTCTATCATGAACATCTCAAGTGAATGTTTCGAGCTTCGCAGATTCACCATAGTCAACTGATTTATCACAATCTCACATGATAACATTGCATAAGCCATTATCTCATATCACACTCTCACTAAATCTCTCAAATGGTCAAATGTGTTTATTCGCTCCAATTCTTGGCATGCACACTATGCCATAAGCTTGAAAATTTTCTTACTAGATTCTACTATACCGACACACACTTTTTTGAGGTCTTTAGGGTTGTAAAGGGGCTTGGGTTAAGGTGGGATATGAAAAGGGAAAACTAGTTTTTGGGTTCAGAGTAAATGTCACTGTTCTTTTTGTTGTCTTCATTCTAAGGTATCATTGTTGGATATCTTTAGAACGGGCATTTTTCATGATCAGCTTGACTACTCAGTTTCTAGAGTTTTATTTCTTCAACTCCAACCGAGTGTTTCTTTGATGAGTGCTTCTCTTTGTGAAGTCTTATCTTTTTTTGTTTCTTTTTTTATTGTGATTTTTGTTTTCCGTTACACTCATGTTGTTTCACTTTTTGTGTAGCTACCCCAAACTTAAAGGTTATTATTCCAACAGCAACCCCAAACTTAGAATGAAGCACAGGTCCAAAAACAATAGCAATTACTATGAACAAGGTAGGGGAGTGTTCGGGCCATGTGTTAAATGGTGTGGTAGTAAAAACAACAAATGGATAGGCTTAACGGGGTTATGCAAGGGATAATTATTAAACAGGGATGGTTGCAAGGATTTGGGTTAAAATAAAAACAAAACAAAAAATTTGCCTATGTGTGTGTATCAAGTCTAGTGTAAATCAACAAAGAACAGGTGCAAGTTCTGAATAATGTGACATACCAGAATTCCCTCATGATGAAGTATAGTGTTTGGATTTTTCTGAAGCTAACCAGGTTGGGTAGATATGAACGGCTTATACAATGGATCTAGCTTGATGTTGTGTCTCAATCAAATAAGGCGAACCTGTATCACTTTCAACAGTATGTCATGTACCACAAACAAGCAATAAAGGTCAGAAATAATTAGATGAAACTGGTACGTGGAAAGATTCAAAATTACCAAGCGGAGTTGTTAAAGCATCATACATTCTAACTATGTTTCATCAGTACACACAATGAGAAAATTAAAAGACGAACTTCATTAATTCAAATAGACATTACAAAGAAGGAAAATGAAACTAGGAACTGAAATAACTACGCTACCGAAACAAAACAAACAAGACTACAATTAAGAAGATCACAAATAGTTAAAAATAACAAACAAACAAAAAAATGAACACCCAAGCATGCTACGCGTCCTCATCATCCAGGCTGAGGTCTCTGTGAATGCTATGAAAGATGTCATCATCGTCCATATTGGGCGGAGGTGGCTGAGGCTGACGAGGTACCTGAGGAGCTATGTGTCCTCCTATTTGCATGCCATACAAGAAACCCGAAATCTGATACCGTCCATGATAAGGAGCGGGTGGGTTTGCAGTAGCAGGATTGCGGTAGCGTTGGACAACACCCAACGCATCAATCTCATGAGTAAGGTATAGTCCAGATATATTAAACATTGTGCATATATCATACATGAATTATGCATCTCTACTTGATGATCATAAGACTCCTCGTCCATACTATGGTGATATCGATAAGCGGAGGTCACTCCCGAGGGTAACTCATGGAATGGGTCTGACCTTTGAACATTATCACTGAGTTGATTTCCTTATCCCTGTCTATTTGCGTCCTCAGTTTCAGAAACCACATTCGTCTTACTAATCCATGTGGTATCAATTTCCTTGGATGGCATCACCTTAACTCTACCTGTCAAAGGATTAACTCCAGCCTTCATGCACAAAAGAAGTATCAAATATGCATGCCCCATAGCTTTATTTGACTTGGATTAGACAATGGCATCCATGTCCTCCGCAATAGTTTTCCCCAAGTTAACAGATTGATTATCCAGTAGATAATAAATTCCCAAAGCCCTCAAAGTGGTTAACTCTGAACCTCTTATGTTGGTATCGAAGTTATGATGATAGTATGATACCCATGCTTTTAGGATAGGTGCAAGAGACCGGGATTGAATTTTCCTCGATACGCTATCTGGATCACGGCTATGTGTGAATCCATACCACCCTTTTCCTAGAATGGCCAATTTTCTCAACATGTCAGAATATGGTAACTTCTATGTGTTTCTCCTTTATTCTCCGCATACTGCACTACAACTCTTTGAATTTAAGTTTCAATAGTTTGTCTATCACTTTCCAATCAAACTCAATTATTTTTCCTCTCACATAACTGATAAATTTAGGTGCATCCTGGGAAACCCTATAGGCATTTTCAAAGAATTCATTCACCAACTCAGAAGAAACTGGTTGTATGGAGTTGTTGAAGGTAGTCAACCTGTATTTTTTCAAAGTGGCCTAGACATCAGTGTATTCCCTTCTTTGTAAATCAAACTGCCTTTCCTCAATAAAATTCCGCTCACCCAAACTGTCATATCTCTGTTGGTGGGGGCCAGAGGAAAACATCAGATTGTCAAAACCAGCAGATGATGAAGGCATTGATTTCTTACCCTTGTTCGATTTCTTAGCCATGAGAGGGATTTTTTTGAGCAAGGAGAATGAGAAAACTGAAAGCAGAAAATTTTTCAGTGACAATGGGTGTTAGATCTGAAAATGCGTGTGTGAATGGTGAAAAAGTATAAATAGTGCAGGTGAAAATCTGAAATGCGTCCTCGTGCGCGTGTGAGAGGCAGCATGTGTCCTGACGTGCGTGTGAAGAGAGGCACGCGTCCTGACATGCATGCAGACAACAACAAACTTTCTGGCATGCATGTGGTCATGCATTTTTTCCCAATGCAACTGTTAGGCACGCGTCCTTGGACGCGTTTACTGAAGTTACATGACCATAACACGTATTGTTACACGTTCCAGCAGATAACATGCAAAAAAGTTTTGGCACGTACGTGGACATGCGTTTTTCCAGAATGTGCACTTAATCTCTAGTCTCGACTCCTTAATTCATTGCAAAGTAAAAACGCACATAATTGACTATAAAATGATAAAAATGTAAAACAAAAATATACAAACAGTTCAACTAAAATACAAAAATAAATAACTAAAATTCAAAATGAAATGGTATCTCCCTTGGGTTGCCTCCCAAGAAGCGCTTCACTTAACATCGCATGGCTCGACGGTCGTCCAACTTATCCTATAAGACGAACATCATCTATCATACCACTCTCTTGTCCTTTATATTATGGTTTTAATAGTTGTCCATTCACCTTAAAGGTGTCCCCGTTCGCTTTATTTTTAAGCTTGATTGCTCCATGCGGGAACACTTTGTGGATCACAAATGGTCCGAACTATCTGGACTTCCATTTTCCAAGAAACAACTTCAACCTGGAATTAAACAACAACACCAATTGTCCTTCCCAAAATTCCTTCCTCAGGATCTTCCGATTATGCCATTTTTTGTTTTTTCCTTATAAATTTTGGCATTCTCGTAAGCCCGATTCCTAAATTCTTCTAACTCATGTAGTTGAAGAATTTGGAATTCACCAACTTTGAAAAGATCTTAATTCAGAAATTTGGTGGCCCAAAATGCTTTATGCTCTAATTGGAGCAGAAAATGACAAGCTTTACCATAAACCAACTAATAAGGGGACATACCTATTGGTGTTTTAAAGGCTGTTCTGTACGCCCAAAATGCATTTTCCAGCTTCACTGACCAGTCTTTTTGAGAATCACTAACATTCTTTTCAAGAATCTATTTTACCTGCCTGTTAGACACTCCAACTTGCCCACTCGTTTGAGGATGATATGGAGTGGTAATCTTGTGCCTCACATTGTATTTTTCAACAGATTCTCCATCAACTTGTTCAAGAAACGAGTGCCTTCATCACTGATTAGTGCTCTTGGCACCCCAAACCTTGAGAAATATTATTCTTCAGAAAATTAACCACAACCCTGGCATCATTAGTGGGCAGAGGTACCACTTCCACCCACTTTGAAACACAATCCACAACTATCAAGATGTAATTCTTTCCAAATGAGGGTGGAAACAGTCCCATGAAGTCTGTCCCTGATACATCAAACAATTACACCCCCAACATATCATTTTGAGGCATTTGATTCTTCTTTGAAATGTTACATGTCCTCTGACACATGTCACATTCTTTCACCATTCCTTGAGTATCCTTGAACAGTGTAGGCCAGTACAACTCGGGCTAGAGGATTTTTTCTATTGTTCTATCTCCACTAAAGTGTCCTCCATATTCCAAGTCATGACATGCTTTTAGGATGTCTCTATGTTCTTCCTCTGGGATATATCTTCGAACAAAATCTTCTGTTCCTTTCTTGTACAGGAATGGTTTGTCCCACAAATAAAACTTGCAATCATGCAAAAACTTTTTCTCTTTGTTTGCATCAAAATCATCAGATATTATTCCACCTACCAAATAATTCACATAATTTGCGAACCATGGAACACTTGTAACATCTAGGATTTGTTCATCGATAAACTCATCCTTTATCAGGTGTTTCTCTTCTGTTTCTTCTATCGGAGACATTCGGGATAAGTGATCAGCAACAATATTTTCACACCCCTTTTTGTCTCGGAGTTCCAGATCAAACTCTTGCAGAAGCATAATCAATCTCAGCAACCTTGGCTTTGATTCCTATTTAGAAAAAATATATTTCAAAGTAGCATGGTCAGTATAAACAATTACCTTCAATGCCAACAGGTAAGACCTAAATTTGTCAAAAGCATACACCACCGCTAGCAACTCTTTTTTAGTTATGTATAATTCATTTGTGCAGGATTCAACACATGTCTTGCATAGTAGATCACATGCAAAAGCTTTTCCTTTATCTGTCCTAGTACTTCCCCCATTGCTATATCACTTGCACCACACGTGATCTCAAAAGGAAGAGACCAATCAGGGGAAATTATTATAGGAGCATATACCAACTTACTCTTCAAAGTTTCAAAAGCCTCACCGCACTTTTTGTCAAATAGAAACAGTGTATCCTTCAAAAGCTAGCTAGTCAACAGTTTGGTAATCTTCGAAAAATCTCTTATGAACTTGCGGTAAAAACCTACATGTCCCAAGAAACTTATTATACCCTTCTTATTCACCAGTGGTGGTAAATTTGTAATCACCTCTGATATTTCTTTATCAACTTCAATTCCCTTATGGGAAATTTTGTGCACTAACATTATTCCTTCGCACATCATGAAATGGAACTTCTCCTAATTGAGAATCAAATTGGTCTGCTGACATCTTTCTAGCACAAGAGATAAGTTAATCAAACAATTATCTAATGAAGAACCGAAAAATAAAAAATCATCCATAAACACTTCCACATGGTTTTAAAGCATATCAGCGAATATGGACGTCATATATCTCTGAAAGAGTGGCAGGGGAATTGCACAACCTAAATAGCATTCTTCTGTAAGCGAAAATACCATAAGGGCGTGTGAATGCGGTCTTCTCTTGATCTTCTGGGGCCACTACAATTTGATTGTATCTAGAGCACCCATCAAGGATGAGTACTAGTCACGACTAGCCATCCTTTCCAACATTTGGTCAATTAATGGTAAAGGAAAATATTACTTTCTTGTAGAAGTGTTCAACCTTCAGTAGTGAATGCACACTCTCCAACCTGTAAGAGTTCTTGTAGGAATCAACTCATTCTTATCATTCTTATTGATGGTTGTTCCTCCCTTCTTTGGTACCACGTGAACATGACTCAGCCATGAAATATAAAATATAGGGTAAATAAGACCCACATCCAACAAATTCACAACTTCTTTGCGGACTACTTCTTTCATGGCAGAGTTAAGTCTTCTTTGCGGCTGGACAACCAGTTTCTGATCATCTTCCATTAATATCTTGTGCATTCAAAATGTGGGACTAATACATTTCGAGTCTTCATTGGACCATCCAATATTACCCTTGTATTTCTTGAGTACTTTGATGAGCTGGTCTTCTTGAACTTATTTTAGGCTAGAGTTGATGATAGCTGGACATTTCTCTTCAGTGTCAAGAAAAATATATTTGAGATGTTCAGGCAGTTGTTTCAACTCTATCCCCTTTTCGACTTCTTGCTTCTCTTTAGGAGATTGTTGTGGTCGTAAATCATCCCACCGGTGTGGTTTCGATCTATTCCAAGGATGTTGTGCTTCAAACATGGCTAGCACTTCTGACTCTTTCTCATCTATTTCCTCATTGTTTTCATAAATTGACAAGCTAAGAACTCTTTCCAACGGTAATTTGGGAATTTTGCTCTGAACTGAATGAATGAACACTGTGTCCAACACTTCAATATTTTTACTTGTAACTTCTGCATTGTTGTACCCCAAAATTTTCCCTCCCATTTCCTTCAAAACATTCTCCTAGGTTTCTCAGTTGCTCAAGGTTGCTCAAGAATTAATCAGACAAATTCTCCTCCTAAGCAATGGATCCACAACTAGGATTTCACTTTTCTCAAGGAAGATTGGGTTTCTAAAGCCTCAAGTGGATTTCATGGTTTCTTATATGTCTCCAAGAATGATCATGCCAAGTTTCAATCCTTGCATCACAAGTTTTCTCAGTCAATTGCTCAGATGACTGAAAAGCAACTACATTGGACAAAAAGTCAATTTTGGTCAACATACAGTCAAACTTCAATATTTTTGGTCAACATAAAGATTTTTAAGTCACATTCATCATTTTATCAAGGGTTGATCATGATTCATCAAGAAAACTCTCAATTCATCAAAAGTCAAAAGTTGCCAAATTAAGGTTTTCTTAAGGAGAAGTTAACTGAACTTTGACCAAGCACAACTTCCACATGCTTCATCAAATTTTTCTCAACCAAAGCTCATTTTGAAGGAAATTCAATTCTCTACAACTTTGCCTCTCTAAGCTCAAGTCCTAAAAATGCTCCATTTGAGATATATGGGCCAATACATTATTGGTCATTTTAAAAGTCAACAAAAAGAAACATTCTGTCAAGGCAACTTACAACAAGATAAAGTCTCCAAATGAAAAAATTATCAAAATAGACATTGTAGAGGGCATCTTTATATTTCCAAAAAGTCCAATATGACCTTCAAATAATAAAAATTAAGAGAGTTATGATTGGTGCAAGTTGGGAGATTTTGAGCAAATGCATGAAA